AAAAAACAAAAAAGGTGTTTCGCAAATTTAGTATATACGTCTTACTTCGCCAAGAGGCCCTAAAGTTCGAAAATGTTCAAAAGTTGATTTTACTTACGTAATATTTAGCCAGCCGTGCTTTCTATACACGGGAGTATTTTAGCAAAGCTTCCTTCAGTCCCCAGGTCGTATGCCTCGTATGCTTCACCTTGTCTTCCTCACGCAAAGGTGAACTAGCTGGCTCGCTTAATGGCCCCTTTTTAAGCGTACACATCCCCCTAGGAACTGCTGCTACATTTCTGCAAGAACCGCCATTGGCTGGCACTTAGTCTGATCATGTATTGGACACGAGGACTGCGCCAGTGTTCGAGTGTAACCCGGCTTAGCTCGATTCGAAAACGAGTAGAGCGTCACCTACAGGCGAGGACTCGGACCCAATCACACGTTTCCTGCCCAAGAAAGGACCACAACCAATGTTACCTGATCTAACTTTTGAAAAGGGTCAATTGTAACCTCCATTTTATAATCTATTCTTCGCCTGGTTTATACAACAGATTTTTTAATAAAACGTTGAAAGACTTTGAGATACCTTCAATATTCGTTTGTCACGCTTCCAACGTCCCCTTTTTTGAAAGTATTTAGGAGGAACTAGCAATGAGCACACCTTTGAGGGTGTGTGCGAACCAATGGTGTTGTTCTCTTTGTGAAACAAATTGAAGTTTTCACGTACGGACCATGTTGTGTTACACATATTTTATTTCCGGAAATTATGAAACAAATGCTATAGACTGAGGATTGGATAGGCGACAGCAGCTAAAAAGCGATTGCTCGCTGGCTGCCGTTGCGTTGCCTTCTTGTAATCTAGCTATTTAGCACGTCGGGAGTTTGAATATGAATATATTGATAACATTTTCGTGGGATGCGCGGGACACGAAATTATTCGACGCATTCAATATTCAAATAAAGGGATACACGCTGCCAACTCACTCCAGCTAATGCGAACGAATCCTCGAGCGCCGTATCACATTCGCATATTGTTGTGAAAGGCGACCTCGCTTTAAATTCAACAATAGACCTTTCCGGAAGCATGTGGTTCACACCGTCTGCTTGACGCATTGTGACGTTGCGATGTAAGGATCGTTACGTTATTGAGAAGCCGAAGACAAAGTTCACCCTGTTATTTATTTATTTTTATTTCTTGCCGCACATGGGCACGAAAGTCCATATTTTTGTCACCTGTCGAACTTCGCATTTTAAGTCACAAAAGTTAAACCAGACGGGATTCCAACCTTGGCAGGTTGGCAGCATCCCTGCCATGAGCAACTTTTCCGGCCACCCTGACTGAAAATGTCTGCCCATCTGCTTATCCGAAGGAAACGTATACTAGTTTTGAATCACTGTAAATAAACGTCTATGTATAGAACAGGGTTGGGCAGTATCGCGAGACAAATGTATCGCGATAGTATTTCAGAAATACATTTCGTATCTGCATTTCTGTATCGCGATACATTTTTTTCACCGGTATCTGTAATCCTGTATCAAAATACATTTACAATCTTTATTTGTTTCGCGATACAATCAGGATGAAATGTATTTTGTTCCATTTCTTACAACAGCAGGGAACATATTTTGGGTCAGGCTTTGCCACAGTTATAACAGGAATTTAGAAATACTTTATTTACGAACCTGGAGCGGTTTTCTTTTCTATAAAAAGTAAGTGCCGGTAGTGATTTTCTATAGGCGTGTAAAGAAAATTTATTGGTTCCCAGTCTTTAGACTTGTTGCTATAGTATTTTCTATTGGCAGGTAAGGAAAATTTATTGGTTTCGGTGTTTACACGCAGAGCCATATATTTTTTTTATAGCTGGCTGTAGCTGTATTTATGGAATTCTATGGCTGACCATAGAGGGCCATAGGAGGTGATAGCCTGCCATATAATTTTTCATAGACGACCATAGACCATTTTTATATGGGGTTAGACAGACAGGATGTCAGGGAACGTTCCATCAAGGGCGCGGTCAGTCCTTGATGGAACGTTGTTGTTGTTGTTTTTTTTTGAGCCCACTGAAGACTTTTCGTAGTCCGAAGCCACTACCTTCAAGGCAAAGTGCCAAGACTACGGGAAAGTAATTTCGGGATCAAAAACTTTCACTTCAATCTTCAAGCTTAATCTCAGTTGGCGTCTCAAACAAATTTGAACAATGTATTGCAGTATCAGTATTTCTGTATTTGTATTTCTGCCCTCCCTAAAAGGTATTCCTGTATTTTGTATTTCCAAAGACCTGTTGCCTCTATTTAAAATGTATTTCCGATACGTATCGCGGTACATTTTTACAGATATTTCTTAGTGTCAGCATTTTAGCTTCTATTTTCATCTATCCCAGTATTTGTATTTCCAAATACATTTTTCAGTAATCCTGCCCAACCCTGGTATAGACCATACTTTAGTGAGAAGACAAAAACAATGACGTGTTCCGCGTCAAGCGCCAGACAAGCAACGGGCGACGGGCGTTGCGACGTGGCGGTGCGGCATCAGTCGTCGCGCCGACTGATGATGCCAGTTTTGTATGCACTGCAAACCGTCGAGCTACGCCCGTTTTCATCGCTCATTTGTTTGGCTGTTTGGAGAGGAGCTCAAAAATCGCAGTTTGTGATATCAGGACGCCGACAAGGCAGAAGGAAAGCAAAACGACATAATAATAGCCTAATTTTGTGTTCGCATTATTTTTTATAGGTTCGTTGCTCCCAACGATAAGCGGAAATGAATGCTTCCGGGATGTACCGAGCGTCCGAGTAGGCCCGGGGGAACCACCCTGCTCGTATAATGGAGCCTTTCTACTAGTACTCACCACTTATGAGCTGCTGCTTTAATTATCCACATCAGCAATTGTATGGGCACGTATTTTCTGAACATCATTCAAACCAGAGCTCCCTCGCGCTCTCATTTCATCCTTTTCCACGGTTTCTCTTCGTATAAGACTACAAAATACGGTAGTTATCTTCGACAATGACGACAGTGAACTGGTTAGGTGCACCATGTAACGTGGTTTAACATATAGTAACGTGATGACAGAACCTTTCGTGAAGAGAGGGTGTCAAGTTTCTCTCAAACTTCAAAACATATTTACTAAACTTATTTAACGATTGTGAGGAAGTGCCATGGAGCTAAGGTTTGATCCAGATAATGTTGAGGATAATTTTTTGTTGCTGTTGCTGTTGTTTTTTTTTTTTGTTTTCTTTTTTTTTTTTCGAAAATGACGATTGCAAGTTCAAGGTCAAACGGAAATAGAGAATACCTTGTGTTTTACAAGGAGGTCTCCAAGAGCCTGCCACATCCATCATCGCTCGTGGGACGCCTCCAGGATCGCGACTGGCAACAGCATGACACTTGTATGACGTCATCAGGCGGAAATCGAGGGACGACCTTTTGGACGCCGTAAACACACCAGTCGGGGACCTGTTCCAGGCACCATAGCAGTGCTGCACTGCTCCATTTCTAATCCACACTAGAGACGCCAGGTGTCCATTGGGCAGTCTAAAGCCGGCATCAAACTTCTCATACCCCCATCATACAAAAGACAATCTGCAAACACAGGTCAATGCATTAGGTGTGGTTTGAATACCGCGTGCCAAGTTTTCTCCTTGAACCCGGTTTCATGCGGCATAAGAGCGCGCATCTCGCGGTGACTAACGTTCAAATCTCTATGCCGATTGTCTTTTGTATAACGTATATAATACCCGAGTCCCATAAGAGCAGCAAACAGAAACAACCGACAGCAAGAAGCATCAAAAACGTCCAGCATGCATGGGAGGGTACCTTTGGCAGGCTCGCAATCTTTCGTGTTTTTTTTTTCGCTTTGGGGGATTAATTAGAACACTTTTCGTATCGTATATGTATATTTTTTTTATTTCTTTTAAGTGTGTGTGATTGCACCAGTACCTTGAAACACCCCCCGAAAATATTTTCTGGCTACACCACTGTTCACGAGCACCGAAACACCGCAAGCCTCTCAAAGATGCCATCGCGTGCATGCTACACGCGTTTGAGGCTTGTCGCTGTCGGCCGTTTCTGTTTGTCGCCCTAGTGGGCATAATGCCCCAGTCCCCCTAGAGCGTCATGCTGTACGTGTTGGAAGCTCGTCCGTGTCTGGTGTTTTTTGTTTGTCCCTCTAGTGGGACTCGGGCCTAAGCAGTGTGACCCCGGCTTTACTTCCCGCTTGAAACATAAACGCAAGCAAAAAATACCTTATTTCTTGTAACCACTGACAGATTTATAAGGGCAGGGGATGGATAATTATCTTCAGTCATTTTGCTTCGTGAATCGTCCCTTAAAGTTCTCATCGGCTCGTGGTAAACTCGCATTGGTTGCGGAGCTAAAATAAGATGCTGGCGATTGTCAACGCCCTGTGTCTCCTCAGGAGCGAGTGAGCATAAAGTCAACACTCGGTCTCACTTTAAGTCCGACCCCTGGTGACGAACTAATCTTATGGAACCAAAAAACAACCTCGAACCTCTGTCGTCACGGCACACTCATCGTCTCTGAGTGTTTGCAATAGCTGAATTATTCACGCACAGTTACGCCATGATCTTGCGCTTTTTTTGTCTCTCTTTGTGTGATTGGTCTAGGCGGTGATGGCAAACCCAAGAACTTCACCTCAAGTCCGGCTCCGGACCAACTTGAGGTGAAATAGGGTATAAGAAAACATCCGGTGTTTTTTTTTGTTTTTTAGTTTTTGCTTCCAGAAGCAGAACTGTTGATGCGGCAGTCCCGAAGGCGACACGCGCTGGTCCGAAGCGCGCTTGCTATCGCGAACCCCGGACCACGTAGAAAAGTAGACAAAAATGGAGTGTCACATTGCGCTAAGGTGAACGTTTTGTGACGGCGCTTGCAGTGCGCTCAGTCTTTTAAAGCCGACTGCCAACGTTCAGTTCGGACGCGCAACCTTAAGCTATAGTCATGAGCTCCCCGAGCGTCCTCTGGGCCGTGCTTCTGGTAGGCTTCTGCCTGGCCACGTCGGGATATGGGTGAGTTTTGCACGACATACGACCAACGCTGACGACTGAAAAATCCAAAAGCCAGCTAAAAGAATCCCAAGAACCGCTAAGGCACAGATACCTTTCTAACATTATTTACTGATATAGTTCTTTTAAAAACAACACATTATATAAAACACCCATTAAACGTAAGTTGCCACGTTTGTCAAAGAGGGACATAATGCAAAGAATGATATCTAATTAGTGTTTGCGGGTGTTACCAGGCGTATTGTCAGCCATACTTGCGGACGTAAATTTTCAAAGTTCCCATATCTCTGAAATCAATTTAGCTGGCAATTACAAGCTTCAGTGACCGAACTCGCATGCGTTGTGGAGAGGTTTATCCTTCCGTAGAGGTCTGACTATGGTCTATCTTTGCTTGGAATTTCCATTAACCAGTCTCAAAGTTTAGAATCATATGGCCCTTATTTCTTTCTTTTTTTTCTGAGTTCTCCTGAATATTTTACAGGACCGTGACATATTAATGACAAAAAACGAATGCATGCATTAACGCACAAATAGAATCAAAGCACGTTTCAATGTTTACCACCGTAAAATGTCTATAGCGTCGCAAGCATTATTCTCACGGAAAACAATTTTGTTGATGGTAAGCAAAAAAATTACTAATTTGTCACCGCTATTAAGCTTTTTGGGATGAATAAATGAAAACTCGATAACATTTTAGACCGCCACAGCACTAGCTAACATCATTCGAAAACCGCTCAAAATCTTCTAACTGCAAAACGACTCCTCCGGCTGAACGACTCAGAAAGGCGATGAATTCAGCGGCAAAATTGCTAATTCGCAACACTGTTCGCGACGCCGGAAGTTGGTGTGTTTTTTTATAGGGGACCCAAAAAGCTACGCGGGAAACACTGAAACCTCAATTGGGCGGTACCACGTAACGCCTTTTCATTTCAGGCAAGCCAGGTTCCACCATGTTCATGAACAGCCTCCGCCATTTCTCCCTTTGGCTTCAACGTAGACGCCGTAGCTGACGCTTTGAAGTAATAGGACCAATCAAGCAACGTCAGGAGCCCAAATCGCTAGGCCTTTTCTGTTTACGACCGGTGCACCGATGATAGAATACGTAGAGAAACATGACGATCGCCATGACGGTACGCTTTTGACCCTGTCTGATTTGTCCCTCCAGCTTGAAGCGTCTGCTGCGTCTGGACTTAGGTTAAACAGAGCATAGTGTAAACGAATGAGGCCTTTGCACAAGCGCGAGAATGCCACTGTGAATGCCACCGTTAAGTAAGGCCACGCTGGGCTTCATCGGCGAACTTTTTAGAGCCGTTCGCGCATTGACGAAAGTTGGCGCCGGCCGGCCGTCCCCGTTGAAAAGTTTGCTTCCTTGGACCGACCAAATGTTCGCGATCATTCTGTGCGTTTACAGCGAGACGCCGTGCTACTCGCGTCTCTAGCTCATGGATCGCCATCTCAAGGCGGAAATGGGAAGCGCTCTATAGTGAGTGTCCTCCGGCTCTCCTGCTCAGCGGGCACGACGGAACTCCTCGCGGTCATGGTTCGCAAACAGTCGTTTCTACATGCAAACCACACTCTTCACTGTCCCATGGGACAGTGAAGAGTGTGGTTAAAACTCCCTAGTATGGTACAACCACGTGCCGCCTGCAGCACGATACTGCAGTATAGTGCTGCAGGCGGCACGTGGTTGTACCATACTAGGGAGTTTTAGTGTTTCGTATTGAAGCGAACGCGAGTGATGTGCGTTTGCGTTAGAGATGCGTTTTCTACGCTGCGCATGCGCGTTGTTGCCGTGTGAAAATTCAAGACCTCAGTTTTGTTGGGCTCGGGGCACGCGCAGGGGGGAACACGCCACGCTAACGCAAACACGCAGTGCCCGCGTTCGCTCGTATACGCAATACTAAAACTCACTACTGTTTCACCGGTTTCCAACGCCAACGAAACGTACTCCAGTGAGCCGACGTGCAATCGGGTAGGCACACCTTCGAACTGGAGCGGCGGAAAGTCGCAAAACGGCAGCGTGTTAAAAAGAAAATAAGTGATCGTATAGTTTTGTAACTAAGAAAACAACAACAAGATCCCTCTTTTCGTAACTTGGGGCATTTGGTGCGGAAGGTTGGGTTGCAAATTTTGAAGTTTTGCGGATTGTCATGATGGGCTTTAGCCGCAGTTAATGTCATTGTACTGTGTTTCTCAGATTAGCTAGAAGGATTTCATTGAATTCAGAGTCTTGTTATTGATAACATGTTAAATTAGAATGCTTCTATTGGCCGCAGTGATGATAATTTGCCAAATTTAGATTACCATAGTTGTTCGCGCGTTTGAAATTAGATCATCAGCAACAAATTAGACTACAGTTTAAAAAAACGAATTACTAAACTATCATAATTGTAAAACTGTTAATTCAAATTGCCGTAATATAGGACCTTCATAAATTCAGAATTCATAACCAAAGCCACAATCGCGAAAATAAACCATTTAAGAATCTAGACTTTACAAAAAGTCTCATCTTATTAATGCGAAAGCATTCGCTATCCCATGGAGAGGAGCCGGCGGCGTCTGTAACCGAAAAAAAAAGCGAAGGAAATTCCAATGGTCCCATTGACTTAGCGAAACAGTTCCAAGATCGACATTGCCGTCGCTTCACGAGACCGCGCGCTGGACCCCCGCTATCGTGTCAGGCGTTGTCGGAGGAGGAAGGGGGGCTGCGGCCGCTTCTGCTCCTTTCGGCGCCGAGGAACATGGCCTCAGGCATCTATGTTGTCGGCGGCCGCAACCTCGGCAGTAGCGAAATATGGCCGTCCACGCCAGTACAACGCAGACGAACTAAGGGAGCGGAAGAACGACATCAATGCTTTCGCATTCACAACTCATAAGAAGTGCTTAGGTGTTCTCAGAACTCTTTTTTGTTTTGTTTTAGCATAAGAAAAACTCTGACATTGTTATCAAAATAGACACAAACACTGGATGTAATATAAAGTCATATCCGTCACGCGTTGCCTTCAAAACACGCACACACCTCAGTTGTCTGGCTTGGATTTTATTGTTGGGTTTTTGTAGTAAGAACAGCGTTACTTAAACATTTATAAAACCCTAGACGGAGGCTACAAACAGGGGACAAACACAAGACGTATCTGGCGTCTTGTGTTTGTCCCCTCTTTGTATTCTCCGTCTTTGGTTTCAGAAAACTTGAACTTTAACCAGCTCGCCTATCTTATTACGTTATCTTAATGCGTTACTTAGTTGAAACGTTTTGAAAACATATTCTAAACTCATCACCCGTCGCGATACTTTCTAAAATTTGGATTGACTGTATTGCTCTTGTGCTGGGAAGAATGCTAAAGAATGAATAATCTAAATGCCCGAAAACGCCCTAAAGGGCACGGATATTATTAGTTCCCGCGGCAATTATCTGGGTAAGAAAAGGTAGCAAGAACACACAAATAGCGCTGATTTTTCAACAAATACAATGATAGGTTACCTTTAACATGTATAGAAGACCCTGTTCTTGAAGGGATAGTAAACTTTTTAAACTACTTTTAACTTCCTGGATTGACAAAATAAATTTTTCGCGAACAATTTCGTTAACGCGAGAATTGCGCACTGAGGCACAACTTCAGCGACGAGGGACACCGAAACGAACCCCTATACAGAGAGAATTAATCCAAACGAGAAGTTAGTTTTGGTTTTGTTCATGAATTAAAACGCCTTCCGGCGTAAATATTACGCTAAACACTGTTTTTCTTTTTTTTTTTTTACGATAAAGAGGCAGTTTGCGCGCATAACACCCTAGCTTTCTCGTATAAGCGGGGGATAATTTTTGTCCCTCAGTAATGCAGTAGACAGGCTCAGCAACTGGTATACCAGCACGCACCTCCGACCCTCACTATAACCGTTATTGTGGAAAGCGAGTGGCGCCGCCTATAAACAGTTGGAGTCGTGAATTGTGCGTCAAAGCGCTTAGACAGCTACGTGGAACATCGACTCTCGTGAGACGCCGGTGCGCTGTTCAGCCATTTTGCAAACGGGGAGAAACTACCGAAGCTGCTCATATTGCTCGTCCGTCGTATCTCACGCTTGTGCGGCAATCATTTTGGTTGCAATGACTTTACTACGAAAGGAGGGCAAATGCGCTAAAGTCGATACGTGGACCACTCAACAGCACGGATTGACCATGTATCCGCATCGCTTGACTGCGATCTCACTGCAAGCGAGGCGGCGTTGGCGTAGCCGGCCCCTGATACCGTCATCGTGGTAATAATGTTCACGTTAGCGTGCTAGTCTACACACAGAACCACAGGTAGCCTTCAGTGCGAGCACTCCGTGAACTCGGTAGTGGCGGTGAGGCAATGGAATTCACGAGATGTTGAGGCCCTGCGGTCGTTCAGTTATCGAGTTCCACGACGAGGCAAGGTTGTAACGCGTTGACGCCACCAGGTGGTAAAGCTCATAACTACGGTACGCTTGGTCCAAAAGGAGTCCACGACGTCACGGGTGTAACCTGGCGCGTGGGGTATCCCGAGACGCATCGCGCTCTCCGATGCTTGATTTTCAGTCGCTCGCTAAAATCCGGCTTTAAGAACAAAAATATGTCTATCCACCCAAGTCAATCGTGATATTATCATTTACAGGTATTATCGATCTATATTCAACTTCAGTGTCCCTCTAACCTTTCCAGACCAGAGAACATCGATCCGATAGAAAGTGGTTTTGAAAACACCTGAACCAAGACGCTGCTTAATTAACATATTGTTTGTGTCCACATTGCACATGGCATTCGCATTTCAGAAGAGTTATTTTTTAATTGTCACTGGCCAAGCCTGGTAGGGAGGTAGAGACAACAGCCAGTTCTGCCTGAATGAAGCCTCCACCCCTCGGAGTTGGCAACGAATACACACAATTGTAAAACAAATACAGATATACGCAGAAGAAAGAATAGGAAACATCTGGCACATTACCAGATTCTTTAGGGGGTGGACGCAGTCTTATTTGTTACCTTCAAT